TTTCGTTTTCTCCTAAGAACTCAGATCTTGAGAGCCCACATGAATCTATCAGATTACTTTGGTCCACTTCTTATTTCCCCACCTCAAAAGACGTATGTGCTCCACGACGGGGACCTGTTGCGCTGTCCCGCCGACCTCGTGAATGGAAAATGTATTTAATCGATGACCTGAATCCCTTGAGATGTTGGATGATCAGAGAGTGGAGTAAGCAGGTTCGGTGACTGGGTGGGATACCAAATCCATCGGAACAGCAGGAAAGTAAATGGATGTGTTCCGAGGAACGAAAGGTCTGAATGCGCTTAGAAAGCTCGTGCGCCATATGCGAACTGATTTGACGGTTCTTTTTTAGGAACATCGCTTAAATCAAAGGTGTTTGTGCTCAACGCTTTGCCTTACCAGATGTGATCCCAACTGGAAATGTTTCAACAGACTCCACTGAGACAGGTTATATGATGTAAACATTTCCACCGTTCTTTTCTCCCTCAGACGTAAAACACGTACTTTTTATTGATGACAGGACATCATGACAAAAAGCTAAGAGGTTCCGGTTTCAGATGTAATACACTACTCATGACGTTGGTGAAAACTCCTTGAAAGCGCACGACCACTTTCACTCTTCTTGAGGTCCAGCAGGCCCATTCCATGAGCTTCTGTCAGTCTAGAGAAAACGAGAAATTCAGCTGGGTTCCAGGTGAGTCTCCCATGAAAACCAAATTTTTATGTAGATAAATGTATGAAGCAGATTTCGGTTTTGCGTAAGTAAGAGTCATGAAGCGCCAGAGCGCACAAATCTTTCGGTGTTGCTCACGCAACTCCACATTTTTTGTAATGCTGGCCGTTGTGGCCTGGTTGTTATCGTAAGAGTCATGAAGCGCCAGAGCGCACAAATCTTTCGGTGTTGCTCACGCAACTCCACATTTTTTGTAATGCTGGCCGTGAGCTGTGGCCTGGCTACTGTACGGCTCGACCAAGAATACTCACTGAGGATTACATCAGCCTGTTACGGAAACTCAGTGACAAAACCCTTTCTTTCGCCCAAGACATTAAGATAACGAACCTAAACGTGGTGTCATTTTGGTATTTTTTCATGACTAGGGTGCTAGTAAGAACAACGTAGCTTATGAACACTATTCAGCAGCGGTTTGATCTAGTCTGATTGGATGTTTCGACCACACATTGTCGTATAGTGTCGCTTTCCTGGTAAAGGGATGTTGGCTATGTGAACGGTTAAAGAGGACAACACAACCGATTTCGGGCAAATATAATGCCTACAAACAGATTTTTTGCTCTGGTTTATCAATGCTACTTGCACGGTAGTCAGACGATGAAAACCGCGATTGAGTCAAGTGTATCGATCATATGCATCGATTGGTCGCTGGAAGAGCAATAAACTGATTTGTGTTCAGATTACCTACTCCTCACAACATTTGTCAGCTGGTATTTGGGGAGTAAGAGTTTGGTTTCATTATAAACAATGCAAGAGAGAGAGACTTGTTGACCTATATCCGAAAGGCCTTTTTGATTGGTTCTCCTCGTATTTTACTATGTATTTATTTCGGTTAGTAAGCATAAAGTGGAGGGGTCTTTTTAGATCTCATCAGAGGTGCACCTCTTAGCCGTTCCACTACTTGAATGACGGTCAACTGGCTGACCGGTAACCCTGAATTCATTAACTTACCTAGGTTTTGAGTCCTGAGCATGAGAACGTGTTCATGCTTGCGTGATGCATGTTCTATGTTTGACGCCCGAGGAGACGATTCTGGCTGGTTTTATTAATCGATTATTCATTTTAGGATCCCCGGTCAGGCAACACCACGGTTTCCTCCCCTGTGAGTAATTTCGGAGTTTGGTAAATTTGCGGTTACAACACCCTCGTCCGAACGGTTCCTTTTTCGACATAGCACGCTGCTCACGGGGCTGCCGGAAGCCATTCAACAGACAACGATCGGTTTCGTCCCTGTTGGAGCTCATCAGGTTGAGAAACTTCTCTGTGTTTCCTCAAATCTTTTGTTTTACTCGGACATCAAAATGTGTACAACTATTGAACTACACTCATTTGCAACTTACACTGGTTTGAACGAGATGCTCAATTGAACATCTCATCCAGCAGCCCTATGAGTAGTATGTTAAGTCAAGTACACACATGAGGCCTTTGTGTAGCACACTCAGTTAGGACGGTCAGGTCCTAACGAGTCACTCTACCCTTAGTAATATTTCACTGAGATTTCACTTTCCCTCTGTTGTAGCCAACTGAGCAGCATCGCTCTTTCTTCCATTGGTTCATCTGCAATATAGCCGATCTTCAACTGGTGTCTTTTGTCTTCTTCCTTGAGGTTTTCCCACTCAAGTCACTAGACTGTCAACGTGAAAGAATAAATTCTTCAAGCCCCTGGCCCATAGACACGACAAGTTTAGTCGTCCATTGGCTCCAGTCTAATTTGCAAATGAGTGTACAGGGTGTCTCGTAATAGACGCAAAAAATAATACCCATGTTAAGACTTTAACATTAATTTAAACGTTTATTATTTTTCTACGTGGGCATACATGCATCACGGAAATTCACTGTAAATAAACTGGCATTACAAAAGGTTTTGAAAGAAACTTTTCCTTTGTAATGTGCTACTCATAAGGTTGCTCAAAATCCATCGACAACCCACGACCGGTTTCGCCCGCCTTGGGGCTCATCAGGTAGGCGCAGTCCCCGGGTTTCCGTCAACCTTATGTTCTACTTGAAACCAAATTCCGCGAAATCGGTACGATTGTTGAAATATCGCGATATCTCGAATATCGTAGCAACTGAAACATGAGGCGGCCTGGTGCAGCACATTCAGTTGCCTAAGAACATCATAAACGAGAGATTCAGCTGGCTTCCAGGTGAGTCTCTCGATAGAACCAAATCAGTTTTCAAATGAGTGTATATTCGCAAACTTCCCCTTTCTTCTGTGACAAGTTGGAGGAGGTATGAGATGTTAGACACAGCATGTTTAACTTATTCAAGCGTCACTCTTGCACACTCCTCTTCAATTACTGCTCTTAACTCCACCAAGTCCTTCGGTTCATTTTCTGATAAACGCGAACCTCGATCATCTCCCAAAACCAATAACCTCTACTCGGGAGAATAGGCTATTCTTGAGTAGGTGGACGGTGAGCGAACAACCAGGCCTTGTTGGCACAGGTTTGTGTGACTGCTATCCACGGGCCAAAAAATAAAACTCGCTCGTCGAATCGCTCCACCTTTTCAGCCTCAGGTCCGCTTCCTTACGGTGTAGGCTCCTTGGTTAACCCAAGTCACTGTGTGAAAGTAATTGCACCATTAGAAGTCTGCTAAATAAAACGGAACAAATCCGCAGGTTTTTAAAGTTAATGCACCGCAAGCTGTTTTTAAGGTGTTCAACATCCCGATCGAGGATAAACTAGAACAAATCCTGCGAACTGAGCACGTTTGTCCAGCGCGACAACGGAAGTGGATTGAACAGAGAAAACTTTGGGTAGTAGGTAAGCTTGGGTTTGCCAAACGAACCGGCGATTCCATGCGAGCTCTAGCTAGCCAACAGTTGTCAAAGTACGTTAGAATTATTTGAATAACCGTCAACAACGCGACAACTGGCATTCTCGTCATCGTACAGCTTGATACCATCTGCATCATCACCAAGTTTCAGACAAGACGTAAGGCTAAATCGACTCGATTTCATTGTGGTTGCGCATGTCAGAATATACAAGCACACCTAACTATCCACACGCGCCCGGCTTGAAATCACTCGGGCGGGGGGGGGCAGAGAGGTACAAAACGGCAACAGAAAACATTTATTTTTCTACATCCATCCACCAGTCCCCCAAGTTGGGGTAGACAGACAACCGATGAACAGCTGCTTCGACATGTTTGATCAAATGCATCATTTGGTCGGAGAAAAAATCACAACCGCAAAAGTAAAACATCATCCCCTCCGTCTTGAAGATGCGTTACAATGACCAGAAGACATTGGACGCATGTGTGTGTGTGTGTGCATCCACACACACTGTTGTCGCTTTGATTCACCTCCACCCCGTGTGTGAAACGATTGTTGTTGTGGGAAAACCGACAATTTCCGCTCTCTCTCTCTCTCTCCGATGCAGTCGTGGTCATCTAGGCTGGTTAGATTATTCGATCCACACTCGCCGATGGGACCTAATCCACTCCACGACCGTCGTATCATGGATGGTCCGGAGGTTGATTTGTGTGTTCACTCGATGTATCCCCGCATACAGTGGCTACTCAGTCCCATACGGGTGGTGATGTCGATGATGACGATGACTATGGCGATGATGATAGGAAAGGAAACGAATATGCATCAGCTGTTTAAAACGGTCAAAAATGAAGACAGGTAATGCCTGTGGTAGTACGCCACAGCGAGCGACAAACCTCGAACTGGGATGACGACGATGTGGTTGTCCATGCGGGGCTGGGGGGTGGATTTCGCTCATTGATGTCCCATAAATTTTTTTCCGTTCAATTTAAGCTTTTCCCCAACTTGGTACGTGTATGCATCTGTGTTTTCAGTTTCTCTAGCAAAAACACGCACAACACGTGAATACTAACAGACAGATCTGTGAAATATTAGTGTTTGAGAAAATACCACGGATCATACTCCAATATGGTCGTAATTAGACGAGTGATGTCCGTAGATGTACGTGTGTGTGTGTGTGAGTGTGTGTGTGTGTGTGCGGAAGAGGGCGTGGTGGACGGTTGCCGGTGACATGCGCATACGTCCCCGTTAAACACTCTAGTGGTTCTTAATGGAACGCTTAATGGAACAACTGTGGAATCGGATGGGAAAAGAGGGGAAAATTTCAAGATTGTGACATATTTGTGACCTGAAAATCCATGAGGAGTTTGGATGAGAAAAATGGCTTCGAAGTGGCCGGAAGGATTGATGCCATGCTGGTACAATTCGAAGTTTGCTTACACACACACATGTGTGTGTAGTGTGTGTGTGGACGTAAAATCTATGTTTGTCAATGAGTTATGATTGCACTGAAAAGAAAGAACAGTAACATTGATGTGAAAACGGTGAAAAACACCCGGTGTGAGAGAAACGATATGCGATATGTTTGAGGTGGAAATCACTTAGTGATTGTCCCACCAAATTCTAAAGTTAATTACTGGTGCAGGAAAAATATCACGGCTACAACAATGCCATTTTTATAAAGTTTTTTCTGTTCGGGAAGAAAATTATCTCATCATGTAGTTTTTAACTCTCCCGTCTTTTCAGGCCTACGTCTTCCCCTTTTTTCTAAGCTTCTGTGTCCAAATTAATTGCTGCAAACACTTTGTTGGAGTCATATCCGATTGTTCTTGCTTCCTTCTCGATTCCTTTGATCTTCAGCATGACTTTACTTAACTGCCTACTATATATCCCTTATTCTGAGTGCCCTCTAATGTTTTGTTTCACTCAAGTAGATCTCTACAACCAACTTACCAAGAAAATCATAGACCCCTGTTATATTCCTAATTATCGCTTCACAAACACACACCGCCTCAGTGCGACCATCTTGCAATTCTATTCAGCGGAACGGAGAAAAATCACTCTTCTGATTTGGCTAGTCTCAGGTGTATTTAGTTCCCCACGTCGTGTGCAATGCCTAACTGGTTATATGACTCCTCAATGCTTTGCTATGGTCTTAGAACAAATTACGACCATCCGTTGCATAGATGTGTCCATTAGAATAGCTGTATCGTTTGTAGTCGTGAATGTCATGGTTGTACGTGGGCTGGGATACTGCCAGGGCGCCCACACCTAAACAGGAGGACGATTAGGGCTCTCAACCAAAGCCTTTGGCTCAAAAGCCTAACCGCAATGCAGCGGTATTTGGCGGGAAATGCAAATGCATTACCACTTCTACGGAACAAGTCACCACATTTTCCATCCCCCAACCTGAAGGGTCAGGAGACTGTGTTCGTCAGACCTCTAACCATTGACCAACCTGGTATGAGAGACTCTGTGAGTGTCGCAGGGACACTCCCCAGTATAGCTCAATGGATCGCTGAAGTGCGCGAACTGTCACACCATGGTAAGATCTAGTCTCTTTGTTTGTAGTCTCTTCATAACGCATAGAACATTTTCAGTACTCTTACAAGTAGTGTATCTCACCCCATGCTATCTCGAATATCATACTAATCGACATATAAGGCGGCCCCTATACAGTACATTCATTTGAAGGATATCATAATCAGGGACTCTGCGTCAAACCGAATATTCGTTCCTTGTCTGTCCAGTATCCACTCTTTCTCTGAACTGGACGAGGAAATCAGAACACGCGGTTTAGTCTCTTATCACCAAGACTGCACTAGAGTTGGGAAGAATCCGAATAAGCTTGCGATGTAAAGGCAAGGAGATACAAAATTTATCTAGGATAACTCCTGACTGTTGCACCCGGACGGGTAAGTAGTCATTGCATGTTAGTCACAGAACCAAAGTGTCCAGACTAAATTCTTTATCCTCGTCTCAGATTTAGTGTTTTAATGTGTACAACTTGTTCTCTTCCTTTGGCAACTTGTCACAGTCAAAGTGACGGCGATGTAGTAGACACTAATTTCATACTTATTACATCTGTATGTCACTGGACCTGCCGGGATGTGAACCCTAGGTCATCTACAAGGCAGTCAAGCATGTTACCATTACTCTACCAGCTCATGTTGAACGTACCTGAGTTATCACATCTTAAAACCCGAATGTATTTGCAGTCCGAGAGATCCGACTGGTTCGCCAGAACAGCAATAGATCAGTGACTGCCCTGATTTCATTGATTTATTCACTCTGAGACCCTAAAACTGATCAGTTTCACTAGAATTTACGGCTGATTTCGTGAATTGGATTTGTCAGTCATCTGATATGACAAGAGCGTTGTATAAGTCAAATTTCTTACAATTTGGGTTCAAGGAGAACCCGGGGACTGTGCCTACCTAATGAGCCCGAAGGTAAAGGGCGAAACCGGTCGTGGACTGTCGAAGAGTCTTCAGCAACCTTGTGAATAGTTTCCTTGATGAAAATATACTGTGATATCTCGAATATCATGCCAACTGAATAATGAGGTGGCCTGTGTGCAGCACGTTCAGTTGTAGAATATCATAAACGAGAGATTCAGTTGAGTCTCTCGTGAAAACTAAATTGATTTGCGAATGAGTGTATTTCTCGAAAACAGTCTACTTCGGGTTCAAGTAGAACATAAGGTTGACGGAAACTCGGGGACTGCGCCTAACTGATGAGCCCAAAGAAGGGTGAAACCGGTCGTGGGCTTTCGACGAATTTTCAGCAACCTTGTGAATAGTTTCCTTTATGAAAAAGAGATCGTACTTACTTGTTCTGAGTGACTAACTGACCCTATGTCTCGGAAACAACCGAAGGTAATTTTCGGTCTGACCGGGTTCTGAAACCGCATAACCGTCAATCGATTCTCCTTTGGTTTCGTTTTTATTGACCGGGACCTATGTGTTGACCCTCAGGTTCAAGCTGGATCAAACTCAGAGCGAAAAGTGCTAAAAAATAGTGCACGCCGAACAATGACCTTTGTCATTCGTTTGAAAACTCGATAACATCAAGCATGATATTTAACGCCAGCCATGGCTTGGTTGGAGCAAAAAGACGTCTGGAGTTTAAGGTAGAGTTCAAAATTTTACGGTATCATGTTAATCTAATCAACGTTCGCTCGTAGTTACCATGCCGAAGTACTTCAACGACGAAGAAGTCAACCCACTCACTATGGATCTGGTACACGGAAGTACATTTAGATGAATCGTCTATCTCTGTTCACAATTTTTGAGTGTGTGTGTGTCCAAACCAGTTACTTTTAATTTCACCTGGTCATTCTGATTTTCCGTTCTCCTCAAACGAGACCAAGTCTAGCGCAACTTGTGAACTTTTACTACCAGTTGTCATGGCTACAAACAATGGACATCGTCCTTCGGATTAACATCATTATTCGTTTTTCTGGCTATACCATGTAACAACATAGACGTTGTTTTCCTGTACTTTCGGGGTGTGAGATATCTTTCATACATGGCGGTCCGCGCGTGTTTCCCTGTTTATAGTGTGCAAAACTTGTCTGAAATTCGTCTTAATGACTTTCACAGGTACACACACACATTCACCCAGGCCAAGATACATAAAATTTTGGAAGCTCTGGGAGAATTCCGGTTCGACAGATGGACGGAAGAACACTGTGGATTTAAATGTTCAAAAATCAGATTACAACCTACCTCGGTTCATTCAACTTTCCCCCGAGAATTATCATCTTTGTCTTCACCAAAAGTTCGAAACAAATCGAGACCGCTCGAACAGTTCATCAGTGTTTGTTGCTAAATTGTGCCATATAGACGCACGCACGCACGCACGCGTGCGCCCGCGAGCTCTTCGAATGTTGCCAATAAAATATTGTGTGTTTATAACTTTTCCATGTTGAGCTAAAGGGCAGAGCTGGGAAAAAAGTACTGCTACCGAAAACAGACTGCAAAAAATGCAAATAAGTTTGACTTATGCACTCATCTGCGTACCCCTTTGATTTTGAAGGGAGACTCAACTGGAACCCAGCCGAATCTCTCGTTTTCAGCGACCTTATAGTGTATTACGTTTGTCCAAACACGGTTGTTCAGAATTCAAATCGTGAAAACGGAGATGTTTCGGAGAGCAATCTTACGACATGGATAAACATTCTTTTACCATTCTAATCCTACTTTAGTGGTGTGACAGTTTAGCACATTTAACTAACCTTCGCACCAACCACGTCCACAAGTAGATACTACCATATGTCAATGAAAATTATGGAATAAAATTCGCTAAATGCGTTATCAGCACGCAAAGCTTTGGTTGTACTAGCGAGGAAACGTGTGTTCGTATGGTCAGTATGAGCTCGAATTCGCTCAGTGGTTGGAACGCGAACTTACTGACCTCAAGGTCCGTGGTTCGAATCCCACCCAGGCATCTCAGCAGCTTCTATTTTGAGAAATACACTCATTTGCAAATCAATTTGGTCTTCACGAGAGACTCAACTGAATCTCTCGTTTATGATGTCCTACAGCTGAATGTGCTGCACACAGGCCGCCTCATTATTCAGTTGGCACGATATTCGAGATATCGCAGTATATTTTCATAAAGGAAACTACTCACAAGTGTGCTGAAAACTCTTCGACAGCCCACGACCGGCTTCTATTTTGGCCTGAGCACTCTGGCAGTATCACAGACATCGTGGTTCCCGCGAAAATCATGGCAGCGTGCTACAGCTAAACGGTTATCATCATCAATATATTATTTTTTCAACGGACAATATAACATCCAAGGGTCACTAATAAATCGGTGTTGCCGTCAAACTCACCTGAAAAGATGCCCGGAGTGACGGATAGATGCTTACGGGCTCACATCAGAACTGTTTTTAATGCCTTGCTTGGTGGTAATTTGAAATCCATGGTTCATATGCACCGATAGTTTACTGGACATCAACGCCATCAGTGTAACGGGGATACTACTGATGGGAGTGGCATGCGAGTAGCATGTTTTCTCATAAATCCGCTTCGCATCTCTTGAAAAATGGGATCTGTTGTTGAATTTGTGGAGTCACTTTGTAGCATTTGCTTGGATTTGAGCAAGAGACAATGGATATCCCAGGAAGTTTAGGAAGACGCGTTCAAACAGAAGATGGATATTCAGTTTTTGTAAACAAGATGCATATGAGAGTTTTGTTTCCCTATCCAATAGTCTGTAACTAGTCAGTTGGCATTTTCTAGTAAAGAACTCCACGGCGAAGGCCTTCTTCCTTTCATCAGTATTTCTCACTGGTAGAATTCTTATACCTGGATATTTGTAGTCTGGAATATTTTGAAAACACATCACTAATACATAGCTTTGGATTAAAACAGACTGATCTAGAGTAACCTTGATGAAGGCGGAGTTTTGAAGTAAACTTCCGAACCTCTTTTATTTCTTCTGGAGGTCGTGTGCTGTACGATGACATTACATTCATAATGGGCTAACACCATCCTGT